ACACGTGGCGCACCTCGCCGCAGCGTCGCGCACATGGGCTCGGTCTTGGTTCCCGGTTGCTGCCCAGCCAAAGACGACCGCTGAACATGCTGAGGCTCGGTGTGTTACTTATGTGTTGGAAGGGCGGGTGGGAGTGAGCTGTACTGCTTGCTATGCTATCTAGGAGGGTCTCTTGACCCCTCCCCCTACGTACCCCCTCCCCTGGTCCTGAAGGGGGGGGTGGGGGCGAGGTGTCAAAGGGTACTGCTTGGTCCAAGATGGGCTCCAAGAGGGCCTCCGCGAGCCCAAGATGGTTTCCAAGATGGGCCAAGATACCTCATGATGGCTCAAGATAGCCTCCGACGCACATCCAAGGGGCCTCAAGATGGCCCCAAGACGGTTTACAGTGCCCGCAAAGCCCTCCGAGGACCCCCCCCTTGCAAGATGCCAAAATGGTTTCGACGCCCAAGTGAAATCCATGTGTTGTCTTCTCGTATGTTCGCTTCCGATGAGCGGCTTTTGAAACCTCAGGATGGCCCCAAGTCGGCCCAAGAGAAGCCCTAGAGGGGGCACGAGGGCCTCAAGAGGGCTCCAAGAGCGCCCAAGAGCGCTCGAAAGGGCGGCCCACGAGTGTACAAAGACGCCCTGTTTGGGCCTCCAAGAGAGGGGATCAATAAACCGCCCTCGTTTCGAGCCATAGGGCCCAAGAGGCCGCCAAGACCCCTCCAGTGAGCCCCAACAGGGCCCAAAGACCACCAAAATGAGCCCCAAGAGGGCCCTGAGAGTGCTCCAAGAGGCCGCCCCACGGGGACCCCAAGAGAGCCCATAAGATGGCCTTCATCGTCCTTCGAGAAACTCTCATAACAACACATATCTCCAAAGCCCGACTTTTCATCCTCCTTCTCATCGTCCGATCCTTACCTCCTCCTACCCTGCTGTCTCCCTCCTCCTCCTCCTCCTCCTCCTCCTCCTCCCTCCTCCTCCTCCTCTTCCTCCTCCTCCCTCCTCCCTCCTCCTCCTCCTCCTCCTCCTCCTCCTCCTCCTCCCTCCTCCTCCTCCTCCCCCTCCTCCCCTCCTCCCTCCTCCCCCTCCTCCTCCTCCTCCCTCCTCTCTCCTCCTCCTCCTCCTCCTCCTCCTCCTCCTCCTCTCCTCCTCCTCCTCCTCCTCCTCCTCCCTCCTCCTCTCCTCCTCCCTCCTCCTCATCATCATCATCATCATCTCATCATCATCATCTCCTCCTCCTCCTCCTCTCCTCCTCCTCCTCCTCCTCCTCCTCCTCCTGCCTCCTCTTGATGATATCGTAAACATCAGCGTGAGCATCAGCACCAGCGGCATCATCATTAGTCTCATATGTAGTATCATCATGGACATCATCATCCTCATCATCAGCAGGAGCATCAATGCCATAGCCTCTCATTCCTCCCCCTCATCATCATCATCATCATCATCATCATCATCATCATCATCATCATCATCATCATCATCATCATCATCATCATCATCATCATCATCATCATCATCATCATCATCATCATCATCATCATCATCATCATCATCATCATCATCATCATCATCATCATCATCATCATCATCATCATCATCATCATCATCATCATCATCATCATCATCATCAGCATCAGCATCATCATCATCATCATCATCATCATCATCATCATCATCATCATCATCATCATCATCATCGGCAGCCGCATCAACCTCATCATCACCAGCAGCAGCAATATCATCGTCATCAGCAGCAGCATCAGCGTCAGCATCATCATAAACATCAACATAGTCGTCATCATCCGCATCTTCACTTTCATCATCATCATCATCATCATCATCATCATCATCATCATCATCATCATCATCATCATCAGCATCATCATCATCATCATCATCATCGTCATCCGCATCAGCATCATCATCCGCATCAACCTCATCATCCGCCTCATCAGCACCATGAGCATCAGCATCATCACCATAGTCAGCAGCAGCTTCATCAGCAGCATCTTCATGTTTCATATGCATGTTCATGTTCATGTTCTTCCTCGTGCCACATTCCTCGCCGCCCTGCTCTCATCAATTTTCCCCTCGTCTCCCTTTCTCCTCCTCTTCCTCATCCTCTTCCGATTCCTCCTCCTACCCCTAAGATGGTCCCAAAAGGTCGAGTATGGCTCAAGATAACCTCCGACAGACTTCCAAGAGGCCTCAAGACAGCCTCAAGATGGCCCAGGATGGGTTGGTGGGGATACTTGCGAGCGCAGGGGTGCCAAGCGCCGTCAAGAAACGCGGCTAACAAGCAACGGCCTAAATTCCGCTGGTGGGCATTTTTTCTCGCGGCCGCAGGCGAAGGCGCAGGCAGCGTCAGCAGAGTTGGCTCGGGCTACGAGCAACCTAATTGCCAGCGCGCGCGCCGAGCAAGGCAAGACCTACCGCTGGGGGGAACGGCCGCCGGGGCTGAGCTGCGCCGAGGGTGGGCTGGTGGGGATACTTTTTGGTCAGCAGGTTCGCGAGGCGGGTCGAAAGCCGTCGTAACACTAGTCGGGTCGCGACTAGGCAGCAGGAAAAGAAAGGCGAGCGAAGCGAGCGAGCGGGCAGCCATTCAGTAGGAGAGCCAGAACCGATACGCCCAAACCCGGTGGCGTGGAATCCCGGTGGCGACCAGCAAGTAAGCGCCAGCTGGTGGGGATACTTTTTTCCTCGCGGGCGCAAACGAAAGCGCAGGCGCCGTGGTTAAAAGGTCCGGGCCGCGGGCCGATCTAATTACACGCGACTGGTGGGGATACTTTTTTTCCTCGCGGGCGCAAGCGAAAGCGCAAGCGCCGAGTTGAAAGGTCCGGGCCACGGGCCGATCTAATACCGCGAAGCGTCGAGAAATAACACGGACATCGAGACACACGCGTGCACACCCTCGCAAGCAGGCGGTGATGCAGGTCGGTGGGCTAGCAACCTTTTTACCGACGGGCGCGATGATCGGAAAAAGGGGAGGAAAGGAGGGACGCAATGACTCCCGCAGCCGAGCGGCTCACAGCCGCGCAGCTTGACATAATGCACGTTCCCGAATTGAATGACGGCGTCGTGATGACACCTACTGTGCTGCCAGAAGTCTCGCTTTGCGCCGCCGTCGTCCGCCGTACTGCTCACAGTCGCGACGCTCGCCACACTGCTCCACGCGTGGCATGGCCAGGGCCCGCCACTATCCGCAGCCAAAAGGCGCGGACCGCTGCAGGATATGACCCCGCGGGACGTCCAGCCGTCGGCAGGCGGCTCGTCCTGGGGCGGGGGAGGGGTACAGCTGGTGGTGCTGCTGATGCTGACGCCGGCCCCCTCCCCCAGGAGGTTCAGGGGAGCTGGCGGCCAGGCGGCTGGAGTGGCCACCTGTGGTTACCAGAGAAAAATGCTGGTGCGGGTGCCAGAGTCGTGCTGCTGCTCCCCACTGTTGAGCACTCGCTATCACCGAGGGCGGAAATGCGGGCAGTTATTCCTCTGGTACACGCCAACCTCGGCCACGCTGCCGGGGCACGATAGCTGGCACCACGTATTCCAGCGGCATGTACCGCCCATTGTCAGATAGTCCTGCTGGTGCCACTGCGCCGATGACATAAGCACAGACCATGGAAAAATCACGTGGGGCCACCAGTCGTGGTGCTGCTTTCCGTCATGCTGCCCAGCGAGGTGAGTGTCCAGAGTCATGGGGCTGCGCTCAGTTGTGCTGCTCCGCGTCGCGCGGCTGCTGCGCTTCACGGCGTGCTCGACAGGGCTGGCCAAGACAGGCTGGAGCGTGAGTGCAGGCGCTAGTGATCGTCGTGGCTGCGCACCAGTGGGTGTGGGAGTCGACACGCCGCCCTCCATCGTGCTGCTCAGCGTCGTACTGCTGGACCCCGTCTGCTGCCGATCGTCGTACGCCTGGTGACCGTCGTGCTGCGTGGTGGTGCGGAAAAACAGAAAGTACAGTGCGGGCGCCGTCGCAAGAAACCATCGCAAGAAACCCAACCCTGAAAACCTGCGCGCGAGGTACAGTGGAGGACAGTCCACAAGAAACCTTCCACAAGAAACCCAACCCTGAGATCCCATGACGAATTGATTATTGGTGTGGGAACGCCACGCCTTCCATCGCAAAAACATCGCAATCAAAGAAGCCCAGGGCACCCTGGAGGCAAGCAGGGTGTTTCTCGGCATGGGCACCCACTGTTAACGAACTCCACTCCATCATGTCAATGCTTAGCAAAGTGTGACGCCCGGCTCGGGCTGGAAGCCCGCTATCAGGCACACGTGCGTCACGGAAGTCGGTCCCGAAGCGGAGAGCCGAAGTCTGTCAGACAATATAATCTGACACAGGGCCTCGGGAGAACTCGCGAAGCCCAACTCACGCTAGAGTCCGTCGTTCTGCTGGAAGCCGTGGTAATGTCACTGCTCGTCGACGTGCTGCTGGTGGCCATCGTGTTGCACAGTCATGGCCGTCGGACTCACAATGCTGCGCCCCGACATGGTGGTCAGCAGTGGGCCAGCAAGCAAGTAGCCTGCAGACAGACGGACAAAGGACCGACACTTAGTAGGACACGATGGCTGCAACGAGCAGAACACAAAGTAATAGTGAACGCTGCCATCAATAAATGAATCGAAACACACAATGCAAATCGGACGAACCATTGGCAGTCAGGGCTGACTCATCACCAAGAAGCCACCCTCTATCCAGAGATCCAACGGAAAGAAAACTACACTCGCAGTGTAAGATCCCCACTACACCTCTCCATCCCATCTTGTTGCGGCGCTTCTCGAACCGACTGGGCCCGTGAGGGCCACGGGGTCCGAAGCAGGACGTATTGCCACGCTGGGACGCCAGAAGACGTGGAGAAGAGAAAGAGAGAGAGAGAGACGAAAAAAGAAAAAGCGGGCTGAGGGAGGCGAGACGGGAAGACGAGGCAAGGAGGAGGGAGGGGGGGGGCGAGGAGGCGAGGACGGCTAGACAAGGACGACGGAGCTGTGGTGGGGGCACGGGAAACTCCGCGCTCCGCAGCCTCCTCGCCGCAATTCGGGCACGGCACCGTCACCTCGATCGCCCCACGTGCTGCGGCATCCATGGCCGGCAGCAGCGCCCGGCACCCGCCACGGCCCACTTCGCCGCGCGTGCTGGCCGCTGCAACAGGCCGGCAAGTGCCGACTGGAGGGCAAGGAGAGGGGAGGCGGAGGCCGAGGCAGGAGGAGGAGGAGGGAGGGAGGAAGGAGGAGGGAGGGAGGGAGGAGGGAGGAAGGGAGGGAGGGAGGGAGGGGAAGGAGGACGAGGGAGGAGGAGGAGGAGGAGGAGGAGGAGGAGGAGGAGGAGGAGGAGGAGGAGGGGAGGGGGAAAGAGGAGGAGGAGGAGGAGGAGGAGGAGGAGGAGGAGGAGGGGAGGAGGAGGAGGAGGAGGAGGAGGAGGAGGAGGAGGAGGAGGAGGAGGAGGAGGAGGAGGAGGGCGGAGGAGGATGAGGATGAGGAGGAGGAGGAGGAGGAGGAGGAGGAGGAGGAGGAGGAGGAGGAGGAGGAGGAGGAGGAGGAGGAGGAGGAGGAGGAGGGGGGAGGGGGGATACAAGTTTGTAGGCACGGCGCCCCGCCGCGAGTGGCGCTGGTGCTTCAGACCGCGCCCCCCGGCCTGCACAGGAGTAGGGCTCGTCCCAAAGAGGGGTGCTCGTCGCCACGGCTGGCCACGCCTCGGCTTCCTGGTCAGAACGCGCGCCAGGACAGATCCGGGGTCCCACAGACCTGCAAGCAGCGCTCGCGCTGCCAGAAGACCTGGGCAGAGGCGAGGCCGCACGATCGAGGAGGAAGTGGAGAAGACAAGCAGCAGAGGCAGAGTGGCGCGCTCGCACCTCACCCGAGCCTTTTCAACACGCGGCACGCCGTGGATTGAAGTCGAACGCGCTCCGCAAATTGAAGCCCTGATCATCCTACCTCATCTGTCCGTCCGTATTATCCCCCTCCTCCCTCCCTTCTTCCTCCATGCTCACCCTTCCATCCCCATCGCATCTCATAGTATTGCATTTGCTTCTCCTCCTCATCCTCAGCCTCTCTCCACCATCCTCCGCCCCCATCCGCCGACAGCTCTCGTCCCTCCTCTCAGTCCTCCCCTGCTGCATGCTGCCTCCGACCTCCTCCTTCCCTTCCTCCTCCATCCCTCCCTCCCTCCCTCCCTCGCGCCCTCGCTCCCTCTTTCCTCCATTCGCCTACTGTCCCATCCATCCTCCTCCAAGCCTACACCTCCTCATCCTCCCCCCCCTCGTCCTCCACCCGGCCTCCTCCTCCACATCCCGCCCCCTCCCTCCCCCTCCCGGTGCTCCTCCCCCTCCCCTCCCCTCACAACCGTGGCACACACAGCACTGCCGCGTGGCCATGCGCAGCACGCGATCCTGTCTTGAACCGCGGCGTCGCCGCGCCCAGCGCCCCCCAGCGAAAGGAACGGCCGCCTGCGCACGGACGCCTGCTGCTTGCGCCCAGAGGGCCCCTGCTGTTGAACGGGTCGGGGGGCACATGCGAACCCTACCCCTACCCCCCACGATTTCTGAGGGGGAGGGTGGGGTTCACTTCGTTCGGGAGCTCACGAGCGAAGTGGACCCCACCCTCCCCCTTAAAAGTCGTGGGGGGTAGGGGTAGGCTTCGCACGTGGCACCCTAGCGGGGGGCACCGTGGCCTGGATCTGCGGCCGCCTGCAGGCGCAGGCTGCCCCTCAAGAGCTTGTCGGGAGTCCCGTCGAAGTCTGTCTGTGGTTCTGTTCCCTCGTCGCGGCGTGGGCCCCAGGGTCCCCTGTGTGGACCATATGTTGGTCCTGGACCAGGCGCGTCGGAGTGGTGGTCTCATCTTTCACGCGCACAGTTATGGGCGCGGAGGGGATATCGAGCATGCGCTCGGCACTCGTGCGCATCTGCCACGTGCTTTTACCTGTGATGGCACCAAGGGTATCGAACAGGCGACGTGATGTGCAAGCTTACGCCAGTCCGCCGAACCCCAAGGTTGGGCCTCTTGGGGGGCTCTTGGGGGCATCTGAAGGGATTGTCTGAACGTTTTGAGGTCCCTTGGGGGCTTCTTGAGAGCCTCGTGGAGGCCGCTTGGGGGCGCCTCGGAGGCCACCATCCTGTGCGACAGGCCCCTCTCAGGCTCCTTTTTGGACCGCCCTGGCCATTTGGGACCGTCCTGGGGGCCTTTTGGAGGCTGGAAGCCAGAGGAAGGGTCCAGCATGCGTGTGGCCGCGTGTTTCGGCGTGTGGTGTGCGAAACGACGACGGCTCCTGGTCGTCTGCGGGCCGCCTGGGGGCGGGATGCTGCTCGGGCTTGCGGGCGAAGACGACGAGGACGACGACGACGACGACGACGACGACGACGACGACGACGACGACGACGACGACGACGAGCACGGTGAGCAAGAGAGAGGGAGCGAGGAGGGCGGCGGATGGCGAGGACGAGGAGGAGAAGGGCAGGAGAACGAGCGATTCGATGTCGTCGGATAATAAAAAAACTTGCGATTGAGGTATTCCTGCCTTTAGGGGGGCTATGCGATTCGATGCGACTCGTGCATGGCTTTGACAGCTCACGCACGGAAACATGAACGTAGGGGGACGAGGATGAAAAGGTGGAGGAGGGGGAGGAGGAGGAGGAGGAGGAGGAGGAGAATGATGGGGAGAAAGAGGATGGGGAGGAGTGAGCAGTGTGAACGCAGAGAGGACAGCGGTGTGCGAACCCCGACCTCCTCGTCTGGTATTTGCCACTGTTTGTTTCAATGTGTGCTGTCTTGCCTTTGTGAGAACCTCTCTGGCTCGCCGCGCTGCTGATCAAGGCAGTGACACTACAGCACATCACACAACAGTGTGCCAGAGCATGCCACACCAGCACACGGCGGACATGTCCGAACATTCGACCCAATGACGTTTTGGGCTCGTGGGTCCTGCGTCGTCACCTCGTCGAAGGCGTCAGCGATGGGTCCGGGGACTGGATTTGAGCGGATTCGTAGGAGCGGGCCCTGGCATCCAGGCGCCATGGGGCGGTGCTTGCCCCGTGTCAGGCCATGTGACTCTCACGGGTCGATCCAGCTCCGAAAGCCGAGCAGAAAGCTGGGGCGGAGATATCCTGTCGTGATGCTTCACGTGGTGATTTTCTCACGGCGTCGGATGCCAAGGGGGGCACGGGGCAGGCATGATGAAAAAGGCCGGCCGAGAGGCGTGGGTGGAGCCGGCCCTCGGTGCAGCTATCCATGTGCCCAGCCCACTGGGTCCGAAAGTCGCAAGGCCCCTCCGCTGGGAGCAGGGCCCCAACACAAACATCCTCCTCCGCCTCCTCCTCCACCACCGCTGCATCAGGGCGGCAGACTCCCACGTTCGGGCCAACCCCCCTCACTCTCTCTCTCCCTCTCCCTCTCCCTCTCGAGGGGCAACGATGGGGGGGACTGGCACATGGGGGGGGGGCGGGGCGGGGGAAACGTCGGCCTGGAATCGGCGATGCATCGCCGACAGATCGGCGACAGCCCCCCCATAGCAAATCCGCACGTTCATGGGCGGGGTGGGGCTATCAGGCCCCTGACGGTGATCTATTGGCGATCAGGGGTCGAGACGTTCCCCCGTGAACCTTCCCCCCCGTTCTTTGCCCCCTATCTCTCTCTCTCCCTCTCTGTCTCTCTATCTCTCTCTCTATCGGGGGAAAGCGCTCGAGCGCATTTTCTGCTTCGCGCTTGGCACAAAGGGGCAGGCCTCCACACAAAGCCCCAGCCATGGACGCTACGCTTGAGCCCGCCTGTGCCCCCGCCTGTGCTCCCGTTTCGCTGCGCCTCGGCCTGCCCTGAGACCACAGAGAGGGAAGGTCGGCTGCAGAGGATCCACGTGCCACCCTTAGACAGCAACTCACAGGAACAATTGGTCGTCCCCATGGCGCCCAATCGGGCGCAAAGCGAACGTAGTGCATCTCTCTCACATGGCGCTATTTGAACGCTATTCGGCGCTACTGGGCGCCATAAGGCGCTATGTGGCTTTATTTGGCGCTATGAAGCGCTACTGAGCGCTAGTGGGTGCTGTTCGCCGATATACACTCAATCCAAGACGAGCGGAAGCTTCCGAGGTTCCCTATCTGACCATCCAGACAGACCCCAGCTCCCCTCCTCCCTCCTCCTCCTCCTCCTCCTCTTCTCCTCCTCCTCCTCCTCCTCCTCCTCCTCCTCATCATCATCATCATCATCATCATCCTCCGCCTCCTCCTCCTCCCTCCTCCTCCTCTTCGTACCACACGTGGCTGCATTCGGTGCCCCGCCCGGTGCCCCCGACTAATCCAGGAAGGCTGGCGGGAAATCCGCCGGCCCCCTTGTAGGGCCACCAGGCTGTAGGCCTAAGGCTCGCAGTTTCCTGTACCAGTTGCAGCTTCCAGTTTCCACTGTTACAGTTCTGCTTCTTGCTGCTTACTGTTCCTTGTTGACTTCTTGCTGCTTACTGTTCCTTTGTTGATGGACCGCGCGAAGGGGGGAGGCACAAAACTGGCATTTTGACCACGCCCTGAGCGTGTGCTCTGAAATGCTGGGGTGGGTAAAAATTAACACCCCTCACGCAGATCGGCGGGGTCAGGGTCCAAAAACACAGAAGCCTTGCCACTTTTCTGAAATTCGGTGGCACCCCTCACGCAGATCGGCGGGGTCAGGGTCCAAAAACGCAAGGGATTCGCCACATTTCTGAAATTCGGTGGCACCCCTCAAGCAGATCGGCGGGGTCAGGGTCCAAAAAGCAAAGGGGATTTGCCACATTTCTGACATTCGGTGGCACCTCTCACGCAGATCAGCAGGGTCAGGGTGCAAAAACACAAAAGGATTTGCCACATTTCTGAAATTCGGTGGCACCCCTCACGCAGATCGGCGGGGTCAGGGTCCAAAAACACTACTGGGGATTCGCCACATTTCTGAAATTCGGCGGCACCCCTCACGCAGATCCGTAGGGTCAGGGTCCAAAAACAGAAGGGATTTGCCACATTTCTGACATTCGGTGGCACACGTGACGCGGATCCGTAGGGTCAGGGTCGAAAAACATACAGGTCCCGACACTGCTTCAGGGTGGCGCCCAGACCTCATGATTTAGCTTTTGCATCTCCCATTTTCCGAGACAGGGGGCCGGCGGCATGGGGCGAAGCCCTTACGGATCATGTCTACTCCAGCGCTGCCCAGGGGTGTGAGATCTGTAGGGAACCGAACTCCGTACACCAACGCTTTTTCCGGCCCTGCACTGAAATTCGCACAGGAACGCGGATCTTGGTGTATACGGGATCCTGGTGTATACATTTTTCGTTGTTTCCCTTGGAAAATGGGGGAACAGTATACACCACACCACCCCGACGTCGTCCCCGACCCTCAAAAAGTCCTGGGATTGAAGAGAGCCCGCCACCGGTAATGTTTATGTTCCAGTTTCCGAATATGGGCATCACTGCCCAGGGACATGGGCACTGCATAATCGCTCGAAGGCGTTTTGAGATGCCGATGCACAACTGATCGAGCCAGGCTGCTTATTGCAAGAAGTAGTGGCTGTGCGCGCTTATCCACCACCGAGCTCCATTCCACTTTTCGGGAGCGGCCAAGAGGGGGGTGTCCAAGAGGGGGGGGTGCAAATCATGACCGGCGGCATGTGCGCGGCCCAGCGGGGGGGGCCAGGGACGTAATGAAATAAGACATGGCGCCATGAGATCTGAGGAATATCATGGCCCGCGCCATGATATCCACCCCCCCCTAGTCATCACCCCCCTCTTTTCCGCCCCCGAACTTTGATGAATGGCAGAACGCCAAAGGCCGTCTGCTAGGGTTCCGGAAATCTTCGAAACGGCCCCTGCCCACCCTCCACACGCTTACCTGCATGAATACCCCCCCTTCCGAGGCTTCCTGGGCGCCCAGACGCCTCCCTGGCGCTCTCAACAAAAAAGTCCAAGGAGCCCAAGACAGCTTCAAAGGCAGCCCAGGCATACCGCCAAGACCGCCAAGATACCGAAGAAGACCCCAAGGGCACCCAAGAGGCCGCAAGAGGCATCCAAGACACTCCCAAGAACCTCTCGAGAAGGGCGTCGGGAAGTCAAAAGCATGTACTTCCGTAGACTTTTCAATGTTTTCGCTTTCCACAAATGGTCGGTGGAATGTCGATCCACGAGTGGTCTTCGAAAACCTTAAACGGCCCAGTGAGAGCCCCAACGGGCCCCCTAGACGGCCAAGACGGCCCCAAGAGAGCCCCAATCTAGCCCAAGAGGGCCTCCGGGACCCCTGACGGCCCAAGAGGGCCCCAAGACGACCGAAGAGGGCCCCATGGGACCCCCAAGACTGCCAGCCCAAGACGGCCCCATACTTGCCCGAATAAGCCCGAGAGATACCCTCACAGAGAATAGATGAGAGGTGTCGCATGTGACAGCCTCATGTGAGGTGCATGAAGGGGCGCCAAACAGAGTGCTTCGCTGGTACGGTAGTGCATTTGCCGCAGGGCCGAATACTCGGCAGCAGTTGCCAAAAAGTAATGAAGCAGTTGGTCGTGGTCTCACTCAAGCACTAGGTTACCTGGCATGTATCCAGACGATGTGCGTGTGTAGGCGTCTTCCGAGGACCTGGAAAGCGGCGACTACCAGTCAAACGTATAGCAAAGTGGGTCGGTCACCCGATAATTAAATGGTAGCCGTTCAATTGAAACTGGTGCAGGTGCTGTAATAGATGTGGCGGGCCATGCTGTACAGTCACTCAGCGTGGGAAAGCACGACGGAAGACGGGAATGCACCAGAATCTATAAGCGCCAGACAGCGAGCTGAAACGGATCCAGGCCGATGCGTCATTTGTCCTTGTTGGACTCGTTCGCCTGATATTGTGGTCAGGGGCACGGAACGCTAGCAAGAGAAGCAGAAAGCGCACGAAATCCAGAAGAAGCCATGACACATGTGAAATGTAGGCGGATACTCGACAATTCAATCACGTGAACATCAAAACAGCAGAATCGATCGTACGGGACCAAGGTGGCGAATTGACGCGGCCAACAAAAAATCCATCCAGAAAGCGAAAATATATAAGGAGTCTGAAAAACAAGCAGCGCAGGTATGATGAGCGCAGACGACCAACACCATCACCAGCAGGACTAGTGGCATCAACCGCGGAGAGCCTGAGGCTGCCGATGGCGAGAGACGAACGGCGGCTGAGGATGCAACCACAGTACGGAAGAGATCTTTTGAGCGACATGTCGTCCAACCGGTGCCAATAACTCTACAAAAGAACCTGCTGCTCAGCCCAGGTACATATGTTCGACTTCACGATGGGGATCTGGATGAATATGGGGGTGAGGACGGGGATGAGGACGGGAGGGGGGGAGAGGGAGAGCAATGGCGAAAACGATGGCAATGACAAGCTGTGGAGGCCGAGGGGAAAGGGCAGCGGCAGTGGCAGCAACACCGAGGACATCATCGTCGCAAGAATACGAAGACTGACTCGGCGGCGCACCTCGCCCTCGCCGGCGGCATCCTATGGCACCGCGCAGGGCGGCACAAGCAGAAGCAGGAGCGGTAAGCGTGGCAAGACCAGAATGAGGCAAGGCGCGAGCCAAACAGTGTGTTCCGTGCTGATTATGATTTCGTTTTCCCTCGTTCTGTCTGCGTTCCGCCGATGCTGCAAAACGAGATCAAAACGAAAACGGTCAACGAAATCGCCCAAGCAACGTTTAGCACGCGCCCTGGGATGAGGTGCCCTATGAGGAAGGAGGCATGGGGATGAGAGAGGGCAGGCGCAGAAGCAGGAGTGGCGGGAGCAGGAGTACAAAAGAGACAGCTGCAGTAGTGGGTCGGTTGCAGAAGAGCCTCCGCCGTGCCGCCCGCATGAGAGCAAAGATTGTGCTTGCTTGCGTAGCGCGGCGTGTACACCATAATCAGCGGTGGCGGCAGCAGCCAGCACAGGCATCAGAGGCACTGGCCGTTGCACCAGGAGCACGGGTGCGGAGGGCGCCAGAGCAGCGGGTGCGACGGGGCACGAGAGCGGGGACGAGAGATGAAGGCCTGCCGCGGGGCCACTCAGGCGAGGCGCGCCGGAAGCGATGGCGGCAGCGGAGAAGAGAGGGCAGAAGTGAGGACGAGGAGCGGTGGCGAGGGCGAGAGCAGAAGGGAGGACCGAGAGCGGAGGCAGCCGGCCAGGGGCGGCAGGGACTCGTGCAGGCGAGCACGTCGGGGCGCAGGGGAGAGCCAGGGGTCACGGCGAGGAGCGGGGAGCGGAGAGCGGAGAGCGGGAGCGCGAGGAGGACGGCGGCGGCGAGGCGGCGGCGCTTCCTCCGTCGTGACCTGCTCGCTCCCCACCCACTTGGAGCCCTTCGGCTCCTGGGGCACACGCGCACTCGCCAGGCCGCGCCCCATGCCACGGCCACCCGGCGGGCCTCTGGACCCCAGAGGGGGAGGAGAGCGGCTCCATCCCTGGAATTACAAGCAACTCCTCCCTGTCGTCGCACCCCCAGACGCGTTCGTAAGGCGGGCCCGGGCATTTCACCCGAGACTTGCTCACCGTCTACGATCTTGAAGCTTGAAAGTTGCTACAGTGTCAGGTCGTTTTCAAAATGTGGCTCTCGCCTTAGCGCCGAGCACATTCGTGTTTTTGTAGGTTTGCACTCGCTTGACGGATGGAGGGGAGGTCGTTTTCAAAATCTGGCTCTCGCCCGAGCGCCGTGCATATTCGTCTTAAAATTCTGCAGCCGCTTCACGGATGAGCACAGATCGTTTTCAAAGTGGGGCTCTCGCTTCAGCGCAACGCACAGTCGCCTGAATAGTTTGCAACAGTCCCAAGAATGGAGGGCCGTTCCTTTTCAAAGTGTGGTTCTCGTCCTAGCGCCGCGCACAATCGCCATCAAAAAGTGCAGCAGCTTCACAGATGGAGTGCGGCTTTCGCCTCAGCACCGTGTACATTCGCCTCGCCAGTTGCAACAGCTTCGAGGACGAATGGCGGTTACTTTCTAAAATGCGGCTCTCGCTTTAGCACCGCGCACGTTTGTCCGAAACATTTGCAACAGCTCGACGGGTGGAGGATAAGCCGTTGTTACGATTTTGTTATCGCCTTCACGCCGCGAACGTTAGTCTTCGAAGTTTGTAACAAATTCATAAGATGGAAGGGGGTGGTTTTCAAAATGGTGCTCTCGCCATGGCGCCGCGCACATTCGTTTTGAGAATTCGCACTACCTTGACGGCTGGGGGGGCGATTCCCTTTCCAACTGGGGATCTCGCCTCAGCGCCGCAGACACTACCATCAAAACCTTACAGCAGTTTCCAGGAATGAGCACTAGTCGGTTTCAAAATGGCGTTCTCGTCTCAGCGCCGCGCACAGTCAGTTAAAAGTTCGCACTACCTTGACGGATGGAAGGCTGTTCCTTCTCGAACTGGGAATCTTGCGTCAGCGCCGCGAACATGCTTCTCAACACCTTGCAACCGTTTCAAAGAATGAGCACTGGTCGCTTTCAAGATGGTATTCTCGCCTCAGCACCCCGCATGTTCGTTGTCTTACGCCACGTTTAGCAGGATGGAAGGCGGCTCTTCTTTGCACGGATCCATGGCGGCACTTCTTCAACATGGTGTCGCTTGAGACCTCCTCGAAGTTCATAGCCACAAGTGTAAACTGGTGCAACAGATACATGGATGGGGGGGCGACCCTTCTTCTGAGAGGATCTCGCTGGAGGCATCGTTGAACTGTGTTATTAGTCTCTTGCGTTCCTGATTGCACGCGGGTAAGATGCAAAGTAATTCCTTGCCACAGCGGGGCCCTCCCCCGTTATGGCAGGCCTAACGGTGCTGGTATTTCAAGAGGAGGGGGGGCGCTTCTTGTAGTGAGGCGGAGGACGAAGAGAAACGTATGAGAAGGAACTTGTGGCGGGAGGGTGTACTACAGCATCGTAGTGTCTGTTTGGTTTGCGCTGGTTTTCCTCCTCGTCCTCCTCCCTCCCTCTCCTGTGTACCCGCCACCATGCCGTACGCACTGGCCAAGATAGGTCCAGGGCCGTCCAAAAACACAACGAGACTGTCCGAAATAGCCTGGGAACGGCCCAAGGGGACCCGAAGACACCCCGAGAGAGCCACAAGAGGATCCCCAAGAGGGCTCCGAGATGTCAAAATCATCGATTGAGTGCGCATTTGAAAAAAAAGTTCAGCGCTCTAGCCTTTCCTTGTTTTTGGTACTCCAACACTGCAACAGAAAAAAACTCCCAAGATCACCTCAAGACGGCCCAATGGGCACCCAAGATTACCCAAGAAGGGCCAGGACTGTCGGGATGGCCCCAAGACAGCCTGAAGGGCCTCCAAAAGCGCCCCAAAAGAGGCCCGAGAGTCAGAAAGTGAAGGGGTAGTAGGAGCCTTTTTTCCCTAAAGACCCCCAAAACCACCAACATGCCCCCGAGAGCCGCCTTGAAGCGCCCAAGACGCCCCAAGGAGGGCATCCGTGGGTAGCGAGCCTGGAAGGGCGACCCACCCGCAACAGCTCGAAAGACATCGGCCAAGGCATGGCAGCTTTACAACACAGTCAGACTCAAAACATACGGGGACCCTGACAACCATGCACACGCACACGCGTACGCATACACCTGTTCCTACTCTGGCGCTGTGGGCCACGAACGCGTAGTGAGCTAATGGGATGCGTCAGCACACATTGGAAGCGAGCTTGTGTCGAATTCGCTCCACACATCCATACGTACACGTAACACACAGATGTTCCTTGGCAGCTGCGCGATCTGCAACACAACGATTACAGTCGAACAGGTCTATACACACAATGGACACTACACTTCTGGGGCTCCACGTACATGTGAATCAACACACGCAGGATGTTTTACATCGGGGTCCATTCACGTGGCGTTCAACGCACATGTGAGCGTTGTAGTGTTCCGCGTTTCGACACTTCGCGAATGGGAGTGTAAGCGATGTTTGGATCCTGGCCGGTGCTCAATCTGTCTACTCGACTCAGACCCGAAAACTATCGAATTGGTTGTCACATCAATTTCGCGTCTAGGAATGTGCAAAACTTAATTGAGACCATTCAAGCTCAGCACAACTGGAAACATCTAGGCAAAATGCAACAGAAGTCAATGAAATACGATGTTGCTGAGCGTATCAGCTCAGCACAACTTGGATAATCGAACACACAATGAATCTGAGACCATGCGACGCAACATTAGCTCAGACCAATGTAGCTGTAAGCCCGCCCCATACGGAATCGACGTGTAAGACCGCAACTGAAAGAAAACATGTGCAATCTGCTGACGACAAACAAGATGTGAACCCCCTGGGGAAACGAGGGAAAATGGTGTTTTGGGACTGCGCCTGGCGCCCAGGAGCCTTTTCTATACGTTTATGATTAAGGTCGCCCTCGAAAACTGCGGCGCACTTGTAGACATCAAAGGTTCGCGCGACTAAAACGGGAGCGGGGGGGGCAGGGCCCCTGGTGCTTATTCCATCCACAGGCTTGAAACAGCTACCGAAATCAACGAAATTATGCTCCGGGGTGCGGAAAGGGGACCTCACGCAGCTCGGCGAAACAACTCATAATAAACAATCCCATATTTAAACGACTGAGCTGTCTGGGGTCTACGAGCTGAGATCTTGCTCGGGAAAGACCGTGCAAGCGTTGCTGGGACGAGTTATGCCCAACTCAGATGTGCAATCAAGTCACGCGAAAAAAGCGTGGCACTGCGGACATTGGCTGAAGCACTGGTAGCCCCAGTCTTCGAGTCCCTGGTCAGAAACCTGCGCAACAAAGCAGCACGTCCTCATTCTGGTCGTCCGCTATAATCATGTTCATCACCTTGTTGCCGAGGAAGATCAATACAACTGCCCACTGCATCAAATGAAAATATCAAGCCCCACCATGGGCACGATGAAAATATATGAGCATGCTGTGTATATGATTGTCCACACCTCTCCCACGATGGCGACGTCCTCTGAATGAATCCAATGGGAATCGCGCAACGACTGCGCACATGACCTCTCAGGTCGCGGAATCTTGGAGCAGCAGCATTCCCGAGAACAGGAGCAGCTCGAGACGGGAAAAGCAGCATCAGGGGGAGGACGGGGGGGAAAGGGGAGAGGGAGGAGGGGACAAGGGAGAGGAACCCCGAGTGGACCAACGCGACAACTGTGAGCGCACGGGCTAGGAAAAACGCCCGGGCGAACAAGAGGGCGTTCACGCGACGAAAAGACACACACACACACAAACGAGCACGCACGCACGCACGCACGCACGCACGCACGAACGCACGCACGCACACACACACACACACACACACACACACACACACACATTTGCGTCGGCGGCTGGGCAGAAGGCGACTGCTCTGGCGGATGGGCAACAAGGGACACGCGACGAACACATACACAGACACACGCTTTTCAAGCCATCGGCGCAGAGGGTCCCCAAGCGCGGGCAGCATATGGAAATGCGAATTGCGATCGAACGTAAACGAAAGCACTCTTAACGAGACGTCAAACACTGGAATGCGAATCATGGGTGGTGGACTAAAGGGCCTGTCTGCCCAGAAGGAGATCGCGCAGCGGCCAAACAAGTAAGAAATAAGCTCAACGCAACTCAAAATAAACTGAAACGCAAGCAGTATGGTGCTGATTGGCGGCCAAGAAATCATCCGCCAAGCGATGTTGCACAGCAAAACGCAAAAAAAAACTGCAAGGCTGCCAGACCAACTGCTTGGTGGGTAAGACACACAAACGGATTTTTCTGGCGTCGCGGTCACGCGCGCAGCGACACGCGCAGAAAGGTCAGAGAAGCGGGCACGCACGCGCGTCCAAACGCCGAGCCCCCAGGCCGCTTGGAACATGCAGCGCCGGCAGCCAACACTCACACACACACACACACACACACGCACACACACAAACAAACACATGCACACACTTTTCAAGCAGGCGGCGCAGAGGATCCTCAGGCGCGGACGGAAGATGGAAATGCAAATTGCGATCGAGCATTGTCGAACGCACAGTGCACAACCCGTGCACACTGTAAAATACAGCGATGGGCGGTGCGAAGGATAAACCGTCAACCCAGGCGAACCGCGCAACGGCCAGAAACTGAGGAGGCAACTCAACACGAGGCAAACTGAAGCGCAAACAATCTGGTGTTGAAGGCCACTGAATCATCATACAAGTGCTAGACAATGAAGCGCACGAACTAACAAGAGCTGCACTGACTGCCAGACCAGCCGAAGTAAGCGTAGCAAGAACTCACCAAAGACAGCCAGCACGAGCTGGCGCGCAGCAGCCCAAAATGCGACCAACGAACCACCATTCGGCGCAGACAAGGAACCGCATAGAAATACACTGCTGAGCAGATTGGTAGCGTCAGCGGTCATGCGAACAGGAGGTAGGGCGTGGACCTACGACCCCAAATCGACCGCGACGCGGCGAGAAGAGGCGACGGCGACCACGCCAACCGCAAAGGAATAAAGGGGGCTGAAACACGAACGCGCCCAATGCAGGAAGCACCGCAGATGAGGTACATGAGGCGAGCGCTGCACGCACAACCTGCAAGCAACACAGCCACTGCCACATCGCGAAAAACTGCAAGGACGGATAGGAATCAAAAATACAGCTGCACAAGAGACAAGCGCGACGGGTGACCACCCTGCCACGCCCGCCGCCACAACAAAAATGGGACTGGCGCGACGGGTCGCGCGGTCGCGTCAACACGACGAGATCATGGGCGAGATATCCGCCCACGGCATGCACACAGCGACTACCCCCAGGAAAATCCGGCAGCCCGACCAGCCACTGGGATGGCACGCCCGCCGTA